CCCCCCCCCCCCCCCCCCCCCCCCCCCCCCCACCCTTCACGCCATCCATCCTCTAACATCACCAATTTTCTCCTTGTCTACCTGCGTTCTTCCGCGCCCCGTTCAGGTCACCTCACCTCCGTGGACAACTACATGAATCTGCAGCTGGAAAACTCAGAGGAATGGATCGACGGCGCCATGGCTGACAAGCTTGGCGAGATTCTCATCCGCTGCAACAACGTCCTCTACATCCGCCCCGGTCTAGCCGCAACCGCGTCCGAGCCGGCGGACCACGCTCAGAAAGCGTAACTCGCTCTAGAAACAACGAAAGCCTCTTACTTTGTTCTGTTTTTTTCTTTTCGTTGGCAATGCCTCTCCATCACGCACGGCTACCTATGGCATCTAGGCCGGTAACCTTTGCACACATTTGGCTCCTAATCTAAACCGTTGCCGCCATGGCCGTCTTGTAACTGTCGACGATCTCCAAGAAGGACGGCTGCATGCTGGCCCCACCCACCAAAAACCCGTCGATGTTGCCCTTCTTCGCCAACTCCTCGCAGTTGGCCGGCGACACAGACCCTCCGTACAAAATCCTTGTCGCCTCGGCCACGCCCTTGCCCACGTTCTTCTCCAGCCATTTACGCACGGCGAAATGCACCTCCTCGGCCTGCTCGGGCGTCGCCACCTCCCCGGTCCCAATCGCCCACACCGGCTCGTACGCGATCACGATCTTGCTCCAATCCGACACGGTCGCCGCCAGCGCCGCCAGCTGGCGCTCGCACACGGCCACCGTGTTTCCCGACTGGCGCTCTTCCAGCAGCTCGCCGATGCAGTACATCACGTTGAGCCCCGCCGTCTCCAGCGCGTACTTTGCCTTCTCCGCAATCGTCGCGTCCGACTCCTTGAGCACCGGGTGGTGGCGGCGCTCCGAGTGGCCTAGAATGGTCCAATCGCCGCCGACGTCGGAAATCATGGTGGCATCCAGCTCGCCCGTGTACGCGCCGCCCGCAGAGACCCAGACGTTTTGCGCACTGATGGCGAAGTCGTCGCGAAGGATTTGGCGGGTCGAGTCGAGGTAGATGGCCGGCGGGGCGATGACAACTTCGACGGCGGTCGGGTCCAAGGGAGAGGCGGCGTTGAAGGCCGAGACGAGGTCGGAGATGGCGGCCTTGGTGAGGTTGCACTTCCAGTTGCCACCGACGAGGAATTTGCGCGACGCGGACATGGTGAAGCGCGGGCACGGCGGGCGGCGGGCCGAGCGTGGGCGGTGGACAGACGTTCCTGCCGCATGGGTGAGGCCGGACGTGAGGGCGGTGGAGCCCGAGGTGACGAATGCGGGAGCCGTCATGATGGTGGGAGGTGGAATGGAAGAGGAGTTGGGGACGGAGGGGGAGAGAATGGCGGAATTACGAACGGTGGTAGGGAAGGCAAAGGAGAAGACCATGACGTTTGCAGTGAATGAAAGGAAGGAATGGTTGATCGAAACGAATGGCCAACGAGATCGGAAGCGACGTATGACAAGGCTTTGTCACAGAGTCATCAAGTCCATCCAAACTCTTTGGATCTCCCACTCCGGATCCCGGAGCCGTTTTTTGGACACCGCATCCCGTCTGGACAAAGATGCCACGTGGTATATAGAAACACGTGTATAATCGTGTACACGGCACTTCGCTGCAAGTCGGATCCGAAGTCCTCTTTCTTCCCCTTCTTCCTCCCCTTCTTCCTTCCCTTCTTCCTCCCTTACGATTCCCCCCCCCCCCCATCTCCACCGCATACCTCCACACCACACCGCTCCCCCGATCTTCCCACCGCTCCCCCACGCCTCTCCATGGCATTCTTTTCGCCCCCCGTACTACCCCTGCGGCCCAGCCGCCGCCGCTCCCCCAACCGCTGCACTCCCCGCGCCTCCACCGTCACCGTCCTGGACTACGGCGCCGGCAACGTCCGCTCGCTCGAGAACGCCGTCCGCCTCCTCGGCCACGACATCCACTGGGCGACAACCCCTGCCGACATCGCGAACGCCTCCAAGCTAATCTTCCCGGGCGTCGGTTCCTTCGGCGCCGCGATGCGCAACCTTGAGTCGCGCGGCTTCGTCGACCCTCTGCGCCGCTACCTCGACGCGGACCGCCCGTTCCTCGGCATCTGCCTCGGCCTGCATACGCTCTTCGAGGCCTCGGAGGAGTCGCCGGGCGTCCCGGGCCTCGCCTGGCTCCCGGGCACCGTGCGCCGCTTCAAGGGAGGCGACGGCTTAGCCGTGCCGCACATCGGCTGGAACGTCGCCCAGCCCACAAGGGCATCCCCGCTGCTGGGCGAGGACGAGCTGCAGAGATACTACTTTGTACACTCGTTCTGCGCCGGCCAGGACGTCGCCGCGCGCAATCCGGACGCCGTGCTGGCCACTACCACGCACGGAGAGGAGTACATCTCCATCTTGCAGCGCGGCAGTGTCTGCGCGACGCAGTTCCATCCGGAGAAGTCTGGCGCCGCTGGGATCAAGTTGATACAGAATTTTTTGGAGCGGGATGTCAGCGTGCAAGTGGGTTGGCCCGTGCCGAAGGGGGCGGGGGGGCTCGCGAAGAGGGTGGTCGCCTGTCTGGATGTGCGGGAAAACGACCAGGGGGACTTGGTTGTAACGAAGGGCGATCAGTACGACGTGAGAGAGGAGGATGGGGGGGAGGTGAGGAACCTGGGGAAGCCGGTCGAGCTGGCAAAGAGGTACTTTAAGGAGGGGGCGGATGAGGTGTGCTTTTTGAACATTACGTCGTTCAGGGGCGAGCCGGTGGGCGAGACGGCGATGATCGAGGTGCTGGAGCGGACGTCGCGCGAGGTGTTTGTGCCGTTGTGCATTGGCGGGGGGATTCGGGACTATGTGGACAAGGACGGGCGCAAGTACTCGGCGCTCGACGTGGCGGCGATGTACTTCCGGGCCGGGGCCGACAAGGTGAGCCTGGGGAGCGACGCGGTGTACGCGGCGGAGAAGCTGCTGGCGAGCGGGAGCGAGACGGGGGATGGGGCGTCGTCCATCGAGCGGATCTCAGAGGTGTACGGGGCGCAGGCGGTGGTGATTTCCGTGGACCCGCGCAAGGTGTTTGTCGACAAGGCGGCGGACACAGCACACGCGACGGTGACGCTGGACGACGGGCGCGTGTGCTGGTACCAGTGCACGGTGAAAGGCGGGCGCGAAGGGCGCGACCTGGACGTGGTGCAGCTGGTGACGGCGGCCGAGCGGCTCGGGGCCGGCGAGGTGTTGCTCAACTCCATGGACGAGGACGGGCAGAAGGCCGGGTACGACTTGCAGCTCGTGCGCTTGGTCAAGGAGGCCGTGTCGATACCCGTCATCGCGTCGTCTGGGGCGGGGCGCGCGGAGCACTTTACCGAGTGCTTTGACGAGACTGATGTGCAGGCCGCGCTCGCGGCAGGCATCTTTCACAGGGGCGAGGTGAGCATTGGAGAGGTCAAGCAGCACATGAGAGGGCATGGCACACCGGTCAGGATTGCCGGCGGCTTGGAAGAAGTGCAGGTCGTAGGCGTCGGTAGTTAGCAGAGAGTGAGGTAGCGTCAAGGTTTTGTAGTTTGTACTTTACCGTATACCTTGGAATGGCAGGCATCTCATGGCATCTCGCTTACCTTTACGCAGTCCTGACCCCAGTCCTGACCCTAGTCTTGACCCCAGGCTCGCCGATGCTCGAGATTGGGTCCATACACGAGTACACGTGTACATGGTAAACCTAATCTAATCCCATCTCTACTGTATCTCCCTCGCTCCTCATCCCGCGCCATCCGCTCCCACGCTCCCCACGCCCCGCGATGCCTCCCTCGTCCCTCCTTGCCTGGTGTCTCTCCGCCCCCCTTTCCCTGCTCCCCCATCACCCCCACCAATCTCTATCTATTCTATTCAACTACTTATCATAA